TTCTCAAATTACTTTGTCAGGGTTGGCAGACCCCATTCTTTTGATGAGTTCTGGTTCCAGTTTTAATAAATAGAATAAATGAGAATAATTTTACTAGTCTGGTTAACAGAAAAAAGAGGGCAGTGACCAAACTAACACAAAAGTTATCATTGATATAAAAGTATCATTTTCCACCTCCAAATACACACTCAAGAAACCACAGCATTCTCTGTGTGTTTATGAGGCAAATGCAAAGAACCGAAAAACCCCATGTCTCTTACAAATATGGCAAATGAATGGCTTTTTTAATTGGCTGTGGAATTTGACATAATTCAAACTGCCTGCAATTAGCTGCTCATTAGTAACTACCAGGTAATTATTGGCTTGCACTCAGGTATTGGCAGATGCCTGGTAAGACACTTACTGAATTTTTCATTAGTGTTTCTGAGAAAGCCTTCAGGAGAAAACATTTCTAAAGGCAGCAACTCTGCACTTTCCTTTTCTCCCCCCTCAAACCTCAAGTTATTTTCAAAATCAAATTTTAAAATGTTAATCACATCATACCTGAATATCTTTCCACCAAATATTTTACTTTTTAATAGATTTAGTACCATCTTCCCTGCTACATATGTCTCTCTACACCCAAAGTCAGTATCAGTACCATGATTGAGGAACATTCATTTACATGCATTTAGTTTTGTATTAAGTTTTCAAAGCATTAGTCATCTACATGTATGACATAATTTTTAAAAAATGATTAAGAAATGAAATCTGAAGTTTCTAATAGACAACATTTTTATCTACAATTTTTAAAAAAAAATTAAATAGGTTTTAATGAGAATAGGAAAATACTTGATTCTGTAATATGTTATTAATGTTCATCTATCTGGCCAGAAATTGTTTACATTTTATTGTACATGAAATTTTATCACAAAGTAATACATTCACAACAACCTAGTGCTTTACATAGATACTAAAAATAGACAGATTCATGGATACATGGGAAAAATACTGATTACCAAAATAAAACTTTCAATTAAATCATATAAAAATGTTCCAAAACATTACACTATTGATTCTTTGGAAGAGGTATAACTGCTGAATGCTAAGTGTGATTGCGATTTGTCAATATTACTTTGGCAGTAATTAAAATTCTAAAGTGATGTTTAAAGCATCCTTCACTCAAATTACGTTCTGAAGAGTTTCTTTATACCCATAATTGGAATGCCAACACCTAAATAAGTGACACATCCAGCTACACTTGCCATACCTGAATGTTGTCACCCTTAAAAAAGCATCTATAAAAACTTTTGTCAGCATTTTTAGTTAGAAGAATATATTTATTTAAATATTAACTGAGAGGGACTATGGCAAAATTATGAAATGGTGTGACTTCAGTGACTTTTACTTCATTCATTCATTCATTCATTCATTCATTCATTCAGTGGCCCCACCATTCTCTGGACTCTATACATTTGCTGGCTCTCACATGATGATTAGATTCTCATTAATCCTCTTTTCCTTACCATCCCTCTTCTTTCCCTTCTTCAGGGATTTTGTTTTAAGCTTACTGCAGAGAAGAAAACAACCTATTGGGACTTCTCTGTGAAGCTTGTACTTTACCAGATGTTTGAAGATGAAAACACATAAGAACAAAGGTGCAATTAGGTAATTAAAAATCAATAGAAATGTATTTCTCTTCTTCATTCAGGGAAAAAATCCAATCCTTAAGTAGCCACCAACATCTCAAATATTTTGAGTGTTCATTTGAACTTTTCATGGTTTCTGTTCTATCCATGTCATCTTCATCTATACCCCATGCTTTTTTACTATGTCTTTCTCCATTGCTCTTCTTAATTTCTTCATCCTCAGCTATTTTTTCTCTCTGACTTATCTCTCATCCCTAATTCTACTGTTACCTCCTTCATATCCAATTGCTTCATCCACTTACTTTATTCTTAGAATTTTTAATGTACTCAGCTACAAAATATAACAAAATAAAGTGTCTGTAGAATTTTATATTCATTCATATTTAAATTATGAACATTCCTGAATGTTACTCTAATTTGATAGCTGTTTTCCATGTTAATTATTGTTGCCTTTGTTGACTAGATAATGATAAATTTAACAATGTATGTAATATAATTAATGATTTTTAAGTAACATGGCTTCACTGTCTTTAAAGAACTATACTTTTACTTAGTGTTTTAAGAAAACCCAATCCTACCAGATTGCAATAAAAGCCTTATGTTTATGAGCAAATCTCCTTTTATTGAAATTCAACTAGGATGCATATTTATATTAACCTATAAAATATTGTTGATTTACTATAAAAACTGTTTGGAAAAGTACAATTAGAGAAAACCTAGACAGTATCAAAATAATTTTCATGAAATATTATAATATTTCTGAATAAATATATCTAATTTCTTACTTACCAATATTGTCAGAAAGTATAATAATGAAACCTTAAATTAAAAAATGCATTTGATGAAAGTATATATAATGAATGTATATGCTTTTTTCTAAATATATAATTTATGCACTCATAAAATACTGAATAATTTGTGCTACTGAACCAACCTTTGTGTCTATGAGATCCATCCATGTTGCTAAATTCAATGTGATTTTCATCAGCCCAGTAGAGTCTATGGTTGACATAATCTATTGTTAGTGCCATAGGTCTAGAAATCTTGGTTTCTATGACAGCGCTCTGATTGGTTCCATCCATTCCAACACGGCCAATGTGAGGGTATTCACAGCAGTCAATCCAATACAAATACCTAGGGAAAAAATCAATAGTGATTTTGTTTACAGACACTCAAGGAGTAAAACATCACACAATATTTCACTTATTTGCTCAGCTATTCCCAAATTAATTTTTGGTGTCTTCCTGAATTATAGCTTCTAAAAAGCATAAGTTAATGCAAACTGTTCTTATGATTTTTTGATAACACATAGTGTGCTTTTAAATATCATCAGATTAGTTAAAATACCCCTGCTACAACTATTGTACTGGAGTGGAGTAGGACTGTGTGAGTGTTGGGCCTTCCTATAATTTTAAACATCCTTCTTTTAGTATACAAAATCATATGTATAATATATTTCTATAAGTGTTAACAAATTATACATGCCCAAAACTAACAGATGTAAACTTTCAAAATACATCTATAATGTTGAAGAAATAAAACTACTCAGGTATAATTTTTTCTTTTGGTTACCTATGAAAAATTCAAAATGAGTTATAGAGAAGAGCATTTACATTATATTTGCTTGAATCTGCAATTATTAAACGTTGTTATTTTTTGTAAATAAAGATGAAAAATGAAAACTTCAGTGAAGATGTCAAAAAGAGAGTTCTAAATTTCACACGTATAATATGTAAAGTTTACCTATAATGACATCTAAAAAATCTTAACTCCAAATCATACTTATTCTGTAAGTTACAACCAAGTGTAAATATATAAAACAAAGCCTGCTTGTAACCATAACAACAGGCTTTTGTTATTCCTGAGGATGTCTTTTATACTTTAATATATTTATTTAAAATAAATTAAAATAGAAGTCTGTTCTCAGTTTTTATTATTTTTATTTCTGAATTTGGAGAATAAATTCCGAGAAGTTTCTTCCAGCTGCAATTATTTCTGATTTGGAATTATAAAATCAATTCTTGATGTTCATCCCCTCTGTGTTTTTGCCTAAATATGGGGATATAGTTTAAAACATTGGCAGGATAATGTTTTTGTTTTTATTTTTTATCTATTTAGTTTAATAAAATATTTCTGTGTTTCCCCACAGAAATCTGAAACCGAATTTTCATTCCTGGCATGCTTTTCATTTCCTCACAACAAAAGTTCCCTTATGACACTTTTCTTTGAAACATGCAGGTTATTTACATACCAATATATTGGTTTGTGCATAGATGCAGATACAGTGTCCCTGTAGGTATAACCCTATATGCTGTGTACATTCAGTTGCCCATTTATTATTTCCTTCTCCAGTGAATTTAATAATCTCTGTGTTAGCAGCAAACAATGACGAAACTATGGATCTTACACAAAAGGAACTCACTTTCTAGAAGGAGAGGTAGATATTTATAATACATAGTCAGATATACACCTGAAACTAATGTTATATATCAATTGTACCTCAATAAAAATAAACAAATAATTTAAAAATAAATAAAGCAGTCATATAACATTATTTGTTCAATATATGCTGTCTACTTAGGCATGATTAAGGAATGTTTCACAGAAGAAATGTTATTTTCTGCTGTTGTTGGAACAATGGAAAGTTATTCCAACTGGAGAAAAAGCAAAAAGGCATCCAAGGAAGAGGGAATAGCAAAGGCCAAGATACAGAAGCATAAAATGTGTTTTTTCCTAATTTATTTGCATTATTGTTACATATATTAGCAATAATTGATACAGATACTGAATATATAAAGTGTCCTTCAATATATTCTTATTAAAATATATTGCAAATTCAAAATGTCACCTAGTGTTCTTTTCTTTCAGTATTNTAATTATTTAGAATCATGGTTGATAATATATTTAGAATCATTCTTTTTTAAAATAAAGACATATGAATTTAAAAACTAAACATTTCAATCTGAAGAATGCTCTGAAATTGCCAAGACTCTCATTGGATGTATTTTACAGCTCAAGAGAAAGAAGTAGAGAGATTCACTCATTTGAAATCTTTCTTCTAGGTAAATTACAAGGTGTTCTGAAATGCTTTTTAGGAAAACATACAATAAAAAGTATTTAACCACATCCTTAGAATTCCTTTTATGCTGACACTTCTGTTAAAATTAATGTACCTTTATCAAACAAAGCTTTTTAAAGAAGAATCTCTAAGTTATGCTTACTATTGGTATTTTTTAACTCTTTAAAAATGTACAGATATATATGAAATTAATGTCATTGGAATAGTGGTTTCTTTTTCCCTAGCTAACTGGATAATAATATAAATCATTCACTTAATATTTGCAATTCGACCACCAATATATCTGCTATTTCAAGCTTACATGTCTCTCCTATTTATTCCGCTAAATAATTACTAAACATAAAACTTTATCTCCATTCCCACAGCTATAATCACTTCAAGTATTTTCTCCTAAAATATTTTAACAGCCTTTAAATTGGTTGCCCTTCCAGGGTCTTTCATTTTCCATGCAGTTGTCAAATCTAATAATAGCACTCTATCAACTAAACGCCGTCAATGGCTTCCTGTGACCTAAAGGATAAATTCCAAATTATTTAGCATACAAGGCCTGTCACAATCTGGCCCCAATTTGCCCTCATTCATCTAATATCATTATCTCCCTCTTATAGGATTTCAGGTCATAGCCAAATTGTATAAACCCCATGCTGTTTCAGGACTTTATTATATCTTTGTACATGTGACTCCCTGGGTATGAAGAATCCTTCCTACATTTCCCCGCATGGAGAGCTGGTATTATACCTCTCACTCTTCTCAAGGAACCCCTCACTTCAGCAAAGACTTCCCTACTCCTTACTTGCATTTTCTCAATATTTTGCATATACCTCTAACCCCAATCTAATTTACATCTTTATCTGCACATCAGTTTTTCACATTAAACNATGTAGTTTAATGTAACATGTCTTACTTAAGGGACAAAGCTAAAAGACATAACTGACACTGAAATTCTAAGACTTCTTAGAAATGACAGTTAATTTCAATGTATTTTGCTTGTCCAGGAATATTTACATAGTACCTGAATTGTATCTTGCTCCATTTCATTAATTTTTATTGTATTGTAAACAGCAGCACATCAATACCATTGGCACAAAATAGGCTGTGAAGTCTGCTGTTCATAATGGACTGAATGATAAGGCTTTTTTTTCTTTTTTCAAAAGTACTAAAATGTAGTATCTAATCAAGAAAGAAATACTCTAGAATACTGTAAAATTGGGTAGTGATGTTTATTAGATTCCCTCTTTTTTGGTGGGCTTCAGTAGATCATTAAATTTTCTAAACACCCAAATGCATCAGCTGTGAGTTTCAGGATATATTGTACAAGCACAAAATACTCCTTTTGTCTTTTTATCCCCCTCCCAGAATGAAACCCTTTAAACATATTTTATGCTGTTTTACCAGCAATATGCTGAGATCTAGATTTATTTTCTAATATAGATAATCACTGCATGGGTTATAATTTGGATTTTTAAATCTAAACACAGAACTACCCCCGCACAACACACATTGGTTTCCCAGAGCAATAAACAAACAATAGAGTTGGACTACAATACTGACACTTGAACATAGGATCTTCAGGTCTAGAGGTATGAAGGAAGAGACCTGGAAAACATAGCTGCATGAAATTTTAAACAAAATAAAGGACAGTTCAGTGATAAACTATAGTTTAGAATCATACACAACCATTCTCTTCAGAAAAATTAGTAGTCAGGAGTGTATTCTTCCAGTCTGCTGGATAAAACACATACATGACCAACTGATTTAACACAAGGTTAAACCATTCCGTGATGTTGTTATCATAGGCAGAAAGAATAAGGCTGTGGGGAGAGGGGGGTGGACATGAAGAAGGAGGTGAAGGGAGACAAAGGAAGATGAGGTAATTCTTAAGAAAAAGTACAGAGGGCCGGCTGAGTGGCTCAGTTGGTTAAGAGCTCGCTCAAGAGTTTGAGCTCTGAGCAACAGTGGTTCAATTCCTTTCCCGAGCTGAGCAGCCGCTGAGCTGTTAACAGGTAGCAGGATGGCTCAGCTAAAAAAAAACAAACAAGAAAAAGTACAGCTACAGGAGGTCTGGCCAGAACTAGATTTCAAAGACTAGAGCAGACCCAGGATGCCATCTTGCCCCTCAAGGTGAACTGTAACTAACTGTAATGGATTATAATATTATTAGCATAGGGGCAGGGAAAATCTCCACCCCTGTGCCACCATGACAGCTCCTGCTAGAGCCAAATTATAAGGACAAGAGAATCCCACCTCAC